GGATGATAGCCAGAAGGCCCCGCAGTGCATCTCTGTCACGATACCCTGAGGAGTGTACCTTGCTGGCGCAAGATGGACAGAGAGTTTCCTTCCCTCCGGGACTGGGCTCCTCTGCCGAGGGGTTAGCACAAGTAGTGCTGCTCCTTGTTTTCTGGCAGAGAAGCGAGCGGGCCGGCCGGAGCAGAACGAGGAGGTCAGCGAGCTGTGCCCCACCGTGAGGGCACAGGAAGGTGGATGCTGTCCCCAAGGTGCTCCCAAGCAGAAGGGAGCAAGAACTGCTGTAGCGTAGCCCCAGTGGGAGGCTGCTAGCCTCGTAGTGTATGCAATAGGCACAAGAGGAACCTGCTGCACAAGGCGTCGCTACCGGTAGCTGCAAAAGTCAAGATGCCTCTAGTTACAAGTGCTGTGAGGAGATCCGCGTTTCCACCTCCTGCTGGTCCCCTCCCTCAACCCTACTAGCTGGGAGGACCAGCGAGGGAGGAAAAATACCTCAGTCGTCTACAACTCCTTGTCGCTTCTCTGTGCAGAGGTCCTCTTCTTCATCCCCAGCCCACGGCAGCTCCGCCAGGCAGGTCCCCGGGAATTCGGCAAAGAGGCAGGAGCAGTGCATAGCTGGGAGAGGAGTTAGCACCGGGCAGCAAAGCCTTGGAGCAGTGTCGCAGTTAGGTGCTGTGTCCCCTGCCATTAGTGGTTTGGAGGTGTTTATGTTGGGGGTGCTTAGCCCAAGATCTTAAAAGAAGTTAGATTTTAGGAAGACACCAAGGTCAGACCTGCTGAGAATTTGGCTCCTGTAATATCCTCAGATTGGTTGCCCAACATCTTCATTAATTTATGAAAGTTTTGGTCTTAATTGCATAAAAATCCCACTATAAAGCTGCATGTCCTGTCAATATATACCTTCCCTGCTGTTAATGGGGATTTTTAATGAACATCCTTTCTATCTTGGGTTTTTGTCTGGTAATGAGCAATAATTTTAAAACACTGCATTTGATCCTTTAAAAACAAGTGGAAGTTCTTCACTGGTTAACATGTGCTGCTAATTGGCCAGTTGAAAATGCTGGTTACACAGGACCTCCCAAAATAGCAAACCAGAGCTTTTATTTGTTTATACCTACAGTGTTTGAAATATATATTTATGAATTGTTTCTGTTTGTCAGTCTTCCTGGGAAATGTTTTTCTCAACTCAGGACATGAGTGAAAACTGAGTTCAATAAACAAGACACATTACAAAACTAACTTTTCTTACTCTTACTGTAACCCTGTTTAGGCAGCAATGTTATCCTGAGTGCTGAGAGAAAAAGGTTGGGATATTTGTAGAGCATACACCTCTGTGGCTTGTTCTCCATACACAATTGCCCATTGACTTGAAAGAGTAGGGTAATTTGTCAGCCTAGGACTGAATTTAATTTAATTTCAGTGGGATTTGGAGTTAGGTGCACAGTTCCCATTGATTTTTTTATTTTTTTTTTAGCAGAAGTTCAGCTGCGCTTTGGAAAACTTCCCATGTTTTTATAGAAAATAAACTTCAGTGCATGGCAACTCCAGGGTTTGATTTGAACAAACTGTTGCAGAACACATTGATCTGGCGATCCAAGGAACACCGTGCCAAAGTACATGACACCACCCAAAAGTCAGCCCTTGGGATCTTATCACTTTATAGTACTACATAGTACTATATAGTACTACATCTGATGACTTCTGAAATCTCATGGCTGAGAAGAAGGGATATCTTGTTAGCTGTGGCTCTGTTTGTTTCGGCGACAGAGGTTGACATTAAGCAGCACCTTTGCAGAACCTCCCCTTCCTGTCACTTGTAGCTGTGAAACTGGTTCCGATGTCAACAAAATGCAGTTTGTTGTAGCTGAATAGGACAGAAACTGCCTAAAAGGGACAATAATTAGGATCTCTGAATGAATTTAGGTACAGGATTCAGGCCCTGTGCAGGGGAAGTGCGGAGTTTCTGAGCACAGCCGCAGGGAGGAGTGGGAATTAACAGCAGCATCAGATCAGAGGGGAGCTGCTTGCTCCTGTGCAGCAGGGAGGAGTAACCAGGCTTGGGGACTTGGGCATCGAATTATGTACTGGTCTCAACATGAACAGAAAAAGGTCTGTCAATCCCAGCACTCAGATAAAAATGGCCATGGGGCAATCTGCAAACATTGCAAATAGCCTTTGGTTAAGCATAAGGATGCAGAACTTCTAAAAATCTGCAACCTGAAAAATTACAGAAACCAGCAGAAATTGTTTCCCAAGAGGTCCAAGCTCAGGTTCGTCATTCTGTTCATCTCAGTAAGAAGTGCCCTGTCTTTTGTGCACTTGAGGTAAAAGACTGATAAACTGAATTTCAGTTAGTAAAATAGAGTAATTTGCCTTTCCTAATTTGCATAGAAATTACTAGGGAGACACAAATCTTTTAACTCTTGTTTTGCTCAGGTTTGGGCGTCCTCTGCTGACAGGAGAAGGAAACACAGCTTAGTTTGTCTACTAACAAGCTTTCGGTTGTGTCTCAGGGACCAGCAGTAGATGTCCCTCCACCCGGAATTCAGAGACGACACACGCTCACCATAAGGTTCAGATGCTGCCCAGTTGCCTGTTGATACTGGTCCTCCAGAGGTGTTTAAAAGATGTACTTAGGCTCTGTCACAGGAAAAGTTACCCGTCTGTACAGCAGATATGGTGGGACTATCCTGTTCAAGGGCAAGAACAAAGATGGGGAAAGAAGCACAAACAAACATATCCCAATGAAACTCATTCCAGATTTTGGGCAAGTTAAAAACCCCTGGCAGCGGAAAGGCTCCTGGGCAGCACTTGCAGTGTGGGTCTCAAACTGAGAACGTGAGATTAAACTGAGGAGATGTTGAGATGGTAAAAACAAGTCAGACGTACACAGTTGAGCATCACACCCTGGAGCTTTTGCAGCACAGACTGAGCGTCATAGGCCTCTGGGTGGACAGGCTGCCTCACCAAATGGACCAGGGCACCTCATTATGAGCAACTTCCTCGCTATTGAGAAAGTTGGAATAAAGGTTTCATAAAATATATAAATCCCAAACAGCATCCACGTCAGAGGCTCCCTGGTGATGCTGCATCACTGTCCCAGCCCTGGGTTGGGGGGAATTAATTCCCCAACAAGAGCAATTACCTTCTTCACTAGAAGCAAGTTTGTGTTTCTCTCGTTTGATACACCATACAGACTTCTAGCTGCCGTTCAGATGGGCTTGAGGCTCCCCTTTGGCCTGTATCATGCCTGGATGTTTGTACAGATGACTCTGACAGCCTACAGGTCTCAAGTGCCACTGGATACCTGCATGCTGGAAGCCAAACCCTGCCGAAGTCCAGCAAAGCCTGCCGGCACCCACCTGGGAAGCGGTGGCTGTAACAGAGCTCAGCGAACACCAGATGCCACTGTTCCCTTAGCCATGCTGAGGGAAATCATGTTTACAATGCAGGGGAAATTTTTCCAACCTTTTCTTGCATGCATCAAGTCTCTCAAGGCTGCAAAAACTGGCTTTCTGTTAAAGGTTGGGGTTTAGACATTTAATAATTGCTCTGGCACTCTCTGGGAGACAGTGGTGAGCCCATCTCTCTTTCAAAGGTTTGCAGGGCTGGGGCCAGGGACTCTGCTCCTGCTTGGAACTGCCGCTAGGTGTGGGGCTGACTGCTGCAGGAATTAGCATGTTTACGAAGAACATTTATTTTCCTAGAGGGTGACTTTGTCACCCCTTACTTAGCCAGGAAAGGAAAAATACCAAGAATTCTTTTAAATGAGCAATATGGGAGGATTTAAAGTACATCTGGGTTCACTCAGCTTTCAGATACTTTTCTTTTTTTCTCAAATTGACTTCGTATTTAACTAATATTTCAACTGGAAAAAAAAGAAAAAATAAATAAAGAGACTTTTTACATCCATCCATAAGCCATAGACACGCACTGCTTGGGTTTCCTTTTCCTTTGCCACAGTAGAATAAGACACAAGTAGCACAATTCATGAGATAACTTGAAATAGATAACCATTGGGTATGAGTCCGAGTAGCTACTCCAAAGTCAAGTAAAAAAATCCTCATTTATACCAACTAATGGTCTAAGCTTTGTCTTCTACCAGTGCCCGTTTGGCTAGTTCAGATGCTGCCTGTATCAACCAGGCTGTTGAGCAACGCTTGTGGCTTAATACTGGCCACTATGTTGGCTTAACAGTGGCTGAACAAAATATTTTAGGTTTTTAGGTTATGGGGAGCAACACTATAGGGTTCCTTTCCTCTAAATCCAAGCTGGAATTATGTACGGGGCAATTGCCATCTGTAATAGAGACCAGCTAGAAACAAAAATCAATTTACAGATCATTTTGACATGTGCGCACATGCTTTATTCTTCACATTCCAAGTTTTCGTAGCACATACATCATGAATTTGGCAGGATGAGAAAAAAAAAATCATGGTGGATATTCAGCTGTGATCTGTAAGACAGGCAGAAGATGGCAGTGCAGATTTTTGGTAAAGGCTGGAACAGCAGCAGGCGATGGAGATGGGAGGCAGCGGCCTGAAAGGAGTCAGGCTTTCCATTTTACTTGCTATGGATGTAAATCACACCATAAGTTCTGATAAATAATGAGAATGGACATGGGAAAGAAAACTGTCATCTTTTAAATGTCAGCTATAGGAAAAATTACCATTTCAAACCATTCAGTTTCAATCATTTCTAATGCTAGAAATCCCAACACTTACAAACACTTCCTGGAGGGAAAGCGTGTACTTTTCTAATCTAATGAGGATCAGTAATGCTGAGTGACTTACCACAAAATAGCTCTCCAAAAGCATTTCTTTGAAGAAAAACAACGATTTTTGCATGAGGAGTCCTTATTAGGCAAGTTATGGATTATCAGAAACATTTCTTTTGTTTACAAGTTGCAGACCTTGAGGACACATCCATAGGAGAGCTGGACTTGCACAGGGGAGGCCATGGAGAAATCTGCTCACTGGCCACTCCCAAACGCCCCAAGCAAAGACTTGCATGGCCAAAAGCTTGTCTGTTTTTCCTATCAGTTGGACTAACAAAACGTACCACATCTCTACATAAGCCTTATCCTTATACTTTAAAGGAGAACAGTCATTTTTCAAAGCGGTAATAAATTCAGGTGACTTTTTTGTCTTACTAGGATTAGGAAAGGAAGACGCCATGGAGGCTGTGGGCACCCTTGCCATGATAGCATCCCAGTAACACTGAAATAAACGGATTTAGGCAGCCAAACTAGCAAACAGCCAAGGAGTTAGAGCCATACAAAAGCAAAGACAAGGGGGCAGCAAATGAAGGCAAATAGGCACAGCCCAGCCACTGCCCAGGAAAAGGGTATTTGGCAGGTGGAGAAGGTTGTGTGCAACTGCTTGTGTGCTGTTGCCAAAATACGTTGTGATGGTGCAGCAGAGTGCGTCATCTGGGTAGCACCAGCAGGATGAAATGTGTTTGTGTATGCTTGAATAACCATCATTAAAAACCCTGTTTGATGATAGCTCACCAGTAGATCAGAAAGAAGAGATATTTATGAAACGATGTGTTACCAAAAGTTTATCCTTTCAAGAGTGGCAACTTTATATCTGTTAAGCTGCTGGGATTCTTTCCATTGGCTTGAACTGGGTTTGAGTCAGACGTTGGAGACACAAACACCAGGGCAAGTCCAGACACCACTGAAGTCAAAAACAAAACTTCTGCCAGCTGCCCATCTATTCCTCTTCTGCATCAAAGTCTCAAAAATAACAAATATGGTTTCTGAAAAGATTTCTACAAGTGATGAGAGGATCTACCTGTACTCATCCGGAGGAAGAAAATACAGCCCACACCATTTCTCACGGCCAAGGGATCACAGGGAAAATTCAGATTGGAGGAGACCTCAGGAGGTCATCTCAGCCAACTTCCATGTTGCTTGAAATAATCTCTCTTCTTTTGAAAATGGCTCAAGCAATCTGTATGGAAAACATTATTGGCATACACAGTATTTCACCTACTTCACCTACTTCAAAGACACAGTGGTTGGTACAAAGGAAATATATTAAACTTTTTTTTTTTTTAATTAAAAAAGTGAAATAGATTTTTGAACCTCAGCTGGAAGGCAGGTTTGGAATGAAGGAATCCATCTATGAAATACTTCTTTGATACCTCTAACTCACATGACCAGGGTTAGCTTTAAATATGTGTTTTCATTCTTCCTTAGGTGAAGGAGCCAGACAGAGGAGTGATGGGAGCCTGGAGCCATGCGAGGTGATTCACCCTGCCTGGGAGGTGCCCAGCAGGGTGATCTGGTTAGCAGGGAGACAGCAGCACCCATGGAGTCAGCAGTTCCCAGCGAGCCATTTGGGGATGAAGGGGGAGGGAGAGAAGGGAAGGGTGTTATCTTGGTGGTAGGGAGTTGGCCTAGGATTTGGAAACACACTTTCCATTCCCAGAGCCGGCCCATCCCTGTCTGCCTTTCAGGTCATCCATGTGCAGGATGGGGAGGTCGTACCTAGTAGAGCTGAGGGCAAGATGATCTTCCTGCTCTGGAGGGATTGTCAAGGTCTTGATACGTCTGCATCTGTCTTCAAGCAAAACTTTGTATCTCTAAAACGTTCACGAGCCTATTATCCAAAAGACTCTGCTATAATAATTTCAAGATGTTTTGCTTCAATTTTGACTTTTTTTAATGCTCTCCAGCTTTTTGGTATAAGCCGAATAAAGCATTGTTTCTATCAGAAAAATAAAACTTCAAATTTAGATCACAGCAGTGCCTTTTAAAGCAGTGCTAAAAGAGGTTTTGTTTTTTTGGTTTTTTTTTTTTTAATTCAGGGGAATAGCTATTCCCACAAATAGTTTCAGTTCTGATAAATCAGCATTTCCAGACAGAAAATTGGTTAGCTTAGTTTTGTTTTAAATCCTAACCCTGCCTAATACTTAACTCCTTGTTGTGAACTGCTTTGGAATCTACCAGCAAAGTGTACTGCATGGTAGTAAGTTATATAGTGATTATTATTCAAGTGAAAATTATGTTTCAAAACATAAGGGAAGGGTATCTTTTAATCATTTTGACTATGTTTAAGTGAGATCACCAAGAGGGACTATAGCTCTGCAAAGGACATGTGCAGGCATGCCTAGGAATTTGGCTTGCCTGCAGTTTATCTGTCCCAATTAAAGGCAGATGCAGCCTTTCGCTTCCATGAACGTTTATGAACTGGCAGATCTGCTGAACAGGGAGACAGTTAATATATAGCAACCAGTCCTGAACTAATCAGACACACACTTTTACAGTGTTGTTTGGCTTTAGCTTGCCCAATTGCATGAAGGAGATCTTCAGTTTTCCTTCCTACCTCCTTGGACTAGATGCTGCACAGAAATTACCCAAGTGTGGGTAATCACATAGTTTGCAGTTTGTGTCACTTCTCCAAAGTCTATGACAAAAGAGGGGAATTACAGGACGCGCAAAGTATCAAAGTGGCTTATGCTCTAGTACTGCTTTGCAGAAGAGAAGGAGCTTCCCCATATTACATGCAAACATACTGGGAATGGTGAATGGTTTGGAAAGCCCAACAGCTACTTAAATCTGCCTCTTGCTTAAATATCCAAGGAGTTGCGCTGCACCTGAACGCCACCATTCCCATGCTGAGGTGCTTAGTGATATCCTACTGATGAACACATCAGATGCCCAGTGAAGCTGCAGCCAGGTCTCCACCAGGGCAGCTCCGATGAAATGGGTGTACCTATGTACCTGGGTCATTGCGAGAGGAGAAAGTGAGACCTCGCAGCCCTGATGTCTCCCATAAGCTCAATTCATCCTGGACACACTTCAGTGGTCAAACATGATCATGAACACAGCATCCTGTCACTATTACTCGCTCCTCGTACAGCAGCAGCACGCAGAAAGCTCAGTTTCAAAATGCTGTATGGGCAATTGGAGCTGCACGGATCCAGCCCCCCAGGTTGCGATCCAACACAAACCCTGCTAGACAGACAACGGACAAGCAAGATGTTCAAAGGTAAGCTCAATGCACTTTTTTCTCCTATTTCTCTTTAAATTATGAGTGCACGCTATGTCAAATCTCAAGAAGTTTAACAGCAATGCACATGCCTCATGCTACTGCAGAGCATCATCTGCTGGATCAGAGCAGCAGTTTCTTTCCCCCCCAGCTTTTATTATTCTTAACACTGACAATTTATATTACTAGTTATAAATACCAAGGCTCGTTTTTCAACCCATCGCCTGTTTTCAGATTCTTTCCTTACATTTTATTATTCTTATTTCGTGTTAGGTTCGCTGTTACATGTTTTCTACCTTTGAGCCTTACCTTTCACACCTCTCTATTTCCTAGTTTTTATTATTGTAAACCTGCACATATTAAAAGTTAATGAGGTGGTAGGGGGGCTGACTGGGAACAGGACCGCCTGACGTCGGTGATTACCAGGCTTTTCCTATATTTAGCGCAAGATGTAACCATGAAACTATGTGAACTGACAGTCGGCAAACCTACAGCTATACTGTGAAATATATGGTACAGACATAACCACCAGCATGGGACTGAGTCTCCCACCCACAGCACTAAGCAGAAAGACTTGCTAGAGATAACACAGCTCTTTCCTTTTTTAATGATTCATGCAAATACAGCCATTGGCCTCAGTGGAGAGAGCTTGAGGCCTAAATTTGGAAGGTCTAGTAATCACCGTGCAGTTTCTAGGTAAAAATAAACACATTTCTCGGCACTGAAAAAGGCTCATCCAGAAGAGGAGAGTGGTCCACACCACCCAGCTTTTCAGTCCTGTGTTTGCAGCTTTTTTTTTTTGAAGATGCTATTCTCCATTTTTTCCATTTCTTTTACATTAAAGACCAGCTGCACTTGGTGAACTAGCATTGGATAAAAAGGTAGTCTTCAAGGAGGGGAAAAATGAAGATAAGCAAGCTGGAGAAGGATGGCAACAATCCTCATGTCGTGAATGGTTTAACATTGGTTTTTCCCTTGCTAAGCTACAACTATGAGACCTAGCACGCTCCTCCGAATACACAAAAGGACATAATACCTCCATTTAATCTTACAGTCTTGCATGGAAAGGGGGTTTTATGTGCAGGGAACAGTGAATTGTGGGTAAAGAAGGTCAGCGTGGATGCCTGTGACTAAGTTGTAAACACACCTGATTGAAGCAGTTTGTCTTCTTGCTTTAAGTGCACCAACCACTATTTTTCACTTGGATTCCTTTCTCGAACCCCTCCCTGGTTCAGCGGGATGTCAGCCTGTGTCCCCAGGCCAATGAAGCACCATCACTCATGGTCGGCAGCACCTTCGAGATGTTTCTGTAGCTTCAAAGGTTGATGAGCAGCAACAGGGTGTGAAGATACCCAAGCATTCGTGTACCACGGTTCCCAGGGTGCCATCCCATCAGACTCCTTCCTATCCTGCAATGAAGATGGATATTGCTCAGGACACAGCCCTCTCTCGATGGCTTTGGCAAGCTCTCCTGGATGAGATAAACTCTCCAACCGATGCACAAGTGCAGAGGTCTGTGCCCTAGAGTATGCTCACATAAATCACCGCAGCTCTGCCAATTCCAGGTGTCTCAGGAACTGGCCCCAAACACTGTATTTGTACAATTTCTTCCATCCCCGCCTACCTTTGAATGATTTGTGTCTTTTGAAGACACAGAGCTTATTTCATCCTGAGACAGGGCAGTGGCTCCCTCTGGGAGCTGGTGACCTGTTGCCTGGGTTGATACATGATCTATGACAGCAAGGAGCTAAGGGCATTTGCTCTGACTCTCAGATATAAGTCTTCAGCAAACAAGGGGATGGAAGCAAGCATACACTTTCCTAACTATTAACTTTTTGGTTTGAATTTACAGCACTTTTTACAGCTTTTTTGAATGATTTTCCACCCCAGGAAAAGGCAGATCAGATGCTTTCACAGGCTGCATGTGCTTTTTGCTTGCTTTGTACTGCACGAGTTGGCACCTTGCATGGCTGGATCACGTGGGGCTGGAGAACATCAGTGGGTACAACCAGTTTCTACCATTTCAGTTGATGTTTTTACTTAGTTTTAGCATTCTTTATGACCACATGCCTGCTCTGAGAGGAAAGAAGGATTCCTTGCCAGGCAGAGGTAAGCATTTAAGCAAAACAGTATGATGGGAGAGCTGAAAAAAAAACCCAGGACCACCATTTGCCCACCCTGGAGCACAGCAGTCTCTCCATAAAAGACTTTGGGACG